TTAGTGCTGGCAGGTACACCAATCCATTATCACCCATAAAAAATATATATTTAATATATCTATGTTTTTGAAACACTGATAGCAATATCATTAACAAAAAGAAATTCTGGTAGTATTGTAAAAACAAAAAAATATGATTCCGGCCAGGATCGAACTGGCGGCCTTCTGCGTGTAAAGCAGATGTGATAACCACTACACCACGGAACCAGATAACAATAATTGCCAAATTATGTATTACTATATTAACAGTAACGTATTCTAATAAAAACAATTAATATTTTAGTTTCAGCCATTGTATAATAAATAATACAACTTAATCATGACTTTAATAAAATTAAAGTAGTTAATTTGTGATTATCGTCGAATAATGTGTTCCATTCTAAATAGATTCATACTTTATTTCGATAGATGGCAGCACCAGTATCGAAATAAAATGAAGTTTACGAATTTTATTATTATTTATTAATGTGTTATTATAATTTTATTAATGTGATAATAAATTTTAAACATAAAATGATATATTTATTATGTGGTATTGTAAAAAATATCTTAAATATGAATATTTTCTTGTGTGTATAACATATGAAAATATTCTCCAATGTAATTATTACAAACTTCTACAATTAATTGAATAATTACGTAACTATTAATATACATATAAAATTGTACACAAACAAAAGATATAGCTCTTATTTAAAAAAAATACCATAAGTGATAATGAACTACAATATTACAAATAGCGCCATCTTTTGTCTAGTAGTAATATATAAAGTTTTATTAGTTCTCATTAGTTTAATAGATGGCGCTGTCGGTAAAAATTTAAAATTATGTTACATTGATACATTATAAAATAAATTTATATATTGATTATTTTAATATGTTTATTTTTTTATGTGCTTTATTATTCTTACCGCTATCGAGTTATTTTGAAATAAGGCTTTTTTCAACCCCACTTTCATTTTTTTCATCAACATCCCGTTAACTTATATAAAAATTTATTTCTGAATAATATTCATAAATAAATTTTTATATATTTATTCATGTATTTGTGGAGTTATTTTTATATATTACGTTAAAACTGGTCACACGATGGTTTAATTTAATATTTTACTGAACTATGTTATATAAAGTAGTTTATAATCAATTATAATATATATGTATAGGTATTCTTAACACGTTATACGTAAATTAAAATGAAATAAATACATTCTAAACACGAATTGATACGTTGGGAGTAGGTAATTAATAACTATATTTGGGGTTGGAGATTTAAGTGTACGCGAAAGGTCGCGGTTAGGGTTGCTACCCTTAATGTTAACGGCAAAATCCATGATTAATAAATAATAATAATAACAAGCCTGGACAATGTCACAGTGCCGGTGGTAAGGAAATTGTCAATAATGTGGACTGATGATGTCATTGCTGCAAGACAAAACAATGTTATTGCTATTTCAAGGGTATATTAAGATTTCTTAAGGGTGCACGCACCACCAATGGGTGCCTGTAACACCTCTGGTGTTTCAGGCATCCATTGGCTACGGTAACCGTCAGATGGGCCGTATGCTTGCTTGCCACCATCCTAGTATAAAAAAAATTACCCCATTCCTATCAAAGTACCATGTCAGGTTGACATTCACGCGGTTCCCCCTGGAAACCATCGTGATAAATTCTTGGTGAATTTTTCTCGATTTGCTAACTGACTTGACCTCATGTTCATCTTATCATCCTCCACTGGTGCCCCGCCAGCGTATACCGTTATCGCAGGCGGGTGCACCACCCCATTATCATAAAAAAAAATGTCATAGTGCCATCTAGCGACAACTTAAGCAAAACTACAAATAAATAAATAAATATCAGCCTATGTGTTTATTCTTGCTAATTTCTAAAACGGCTGGACTGATTATGGACTTTCTCTCGCAGATAGCTAATGTTACAAGGAGTAACTTTTGACAGGACTTTTATTGACAAGCAGCTGATGTAAGAACGAGTAACTTAGGCTACTTTTAATTTAGAAATTTCAGTTAATAAATATAAAAAAAATACTCTTTTACTAATAGAATATATATTTATATTTATTCAAATAATAATATAATGACTTAGGAATGGTATTTTTATTATTCTCCTTCTCATTCGGAACGCTGACTTATCACAAGAAGCGTTTTTCTTCTAAAGTCCTACACGCAGTGCTCGTTAGCAAGAGACTCTTTCAAATAAATGTATTTTTTTAATGCATAAATAACTAATTACATAATTTATACATATAAATAAAATTGTAGTGTCTGTTTGTAATATTGAAATAACCGTTTTTTACTACATGCATATGAATATAAATACAAAACATACACCAAAAAATAACTTTTTAAAATTTTTGTCTGTCTGTCTGTCGTTCTGTTTGTTCCGGCTAATCTCTAAAATGGCTGGACGGATTTTGACGGGACTTTTATTGACAGGTAGCTGATGTAATAGGGAGTAACTTAGGCTATTTTTATTTTAGAAACATTATTTTATTTAAAAAAAATTAAATATAATTCCACGCGGACGAAGTCGCGGGTACAGCTAGTAACAAGTAAGAGGCATGCGATAATCAACATATGTAGAAGTCGCTACGCACTCATTATTAGTGCAATCAGATAATATTGTCAGTGCTATGGATTTTGTTTTTCTACTAAAACATTATTATCTATTACAAACTGGTTAAATTTATAATAAGCTTAAAATGTATTTTATTTGTAAAAATGTGGCAACCCCAACAATAGCACGCGATGGCATAATGGCAATGAACTAACAAACTGTACGATGTTATATTGGGAACAAAGAACGTGTTACTTGACATATGATTGATGAGTTGTATAGTCATAGATGTATTAATAGATAGAAATAATATTAATAGACAATCATAGCGGTCATACAAATTGACATACATATTTATATATATTAATATCACTAACTGCACACGCGACTTCGTCCGCGTGGAATTCAACTTCATTTCTCTAAAATAAAAGTAGCCTAAGTTACTCGTTATTACATCAGCTACCTGCCAATAAAAATCCCGTCAAAATCCGTCCAGCCATTTCAGAGATTAGCCGGAACAAACAGACGGACAGAGAAAAATTGCAGAAAATGTTATTTTGGTGTATGTACCGTATTTATATTCATATGCATGTAGTAAGAAACGGTTATTTCAATATTACAAACAGACATACCAATTTTATTTATACGTATAGATGTATAGATTGATAATTGTAATTTCATGTATGAATCATAGAAACAAAGTAGTTTGGTCTGTATATTGTGAGTGTTGATTTATTTATGTATATGTGTAGGTGCGGGCGGACCCTCTGTGACTAATGACAGCTTAATAAAGGGTCCCAAATATAGCACCACCAAGTGGATCAGTCAGCAACTAAGTATTTTTAATCTTCTTATATTTATATATATATATAAAATTCTCGTGTCACAGTTTTCGTTCCCATACTCCTCCGAAACGGCTTGATTTGATGATTCTCAAATTGAAAATTCATGATTCTCATGAAATTTTGTGAGCGTATTGAGTAGGTCTGAGAATCTGCCAACATCTATTTTTCATCCCCCTAAATGTTAGGGGTAGTCCACCCCTAAATTTTTATTTTTATTTTTTAGACAAAATTTTTAGTTTCTATGTTTTTATGATACAACATACAAAAATACATACAATCCTAAATTTTCACCCTTCCAGCTTCAACCTCTTTTTTTTAATAGCGATTTTAATTTATATGGCATAACAACGTTTGCCGGGACAGCTAGTATATATATATATATATATGTAGCTGGCCCGCAAAACATCGCCTGCATAATACTTACTTGACATTTATCACTATATTTCGCCCAATTTACATAATATCTTTTTAAATTATAGCCTATAAGTCATTCTGATGTGTAAGCTACTAACTACAACTACTAACAGACCCGGCCACGCGTTGCTGTGGCTAAGGTTCTTGAATAAAATAATATTGCGACTATAAATTGAGATGTAAGCTATCCTATCTTTCAAGTTGGATCAAATTGCACACAATGTGCAAATCAAATTTGCAATCGGTTCAGTAGATTAGGAGCCATCGCGGACAAACAACGTGACACATAATTTTTATATATAAAGATATCTCATTAATATTATAAACGCAAAAGTTTGTGAGTACGGATGTTTATTACTCTTTCATGCAAAAACTACTGAACAGATTTTTATGAAACTTTACAATAATATAGCTTATACATCAGAATAACATATAGGCTACACATTTCACGCGCGGGCATAGCTAATTATATATATTGAGTTTAGGTTACCCATATCTTTTCTTAATCATAATAAATATTAAATAATAATAATACTTTAGTACAATTCACACAACGCCATCTAGTCTCAAGCTAAGCAAAGCTTGTATTATACATATATTTAAAATTATATGTAAGTATAGAATCGATTGATACTTTAATAGAACCTTGCGTTCAGATCCTTGTGGGGTTGAAAGGGAGGGAACAAGCGTGGGTCGTTTTAACACAGAGTTGGCTCTAGGTCCACTGATGGGGTGCAAACTTAACTGGGGGCGAAGATTACTATGTTAGTAATAGGGTCTTATCCATGTGGGGTTGAAAGGGAGGGCAAGAGTGTGGGTCTCTTTTAACAGAGTTGGCTCTAGGTCCTGTGATGGGGTGCAAAATCACAATCTCGTTCTCATTCACATATAAAACAATTTTTTTGGATCGTGGACGATCACACATGTCTGATAAAGTCCAAATAGCGGTAGGCAGTTCACTCAATAAGAGAGAGAGAGAGAGAGAGAGAGAGAGACGGCGAGCTGTCGTACGGATGACAACATCGTCATAGCCCACTACATAATGAACTCCACAACCTCATTCCTACAGAACCGTTCCACCACCATACAACAAAACGTAGAGAGCGGCTCCACATATACACTGTTGACATTCCTGCTGCTCGAACCAACCGATTTGCAGCATCTTTCATCATGCGAGCAGCTAAGGAGTGGAACTTTCTCCCAGAGTCTATGTTTCCTGTCTCTTACAACATTGGGTCTTACAAATCAAGAGTGAAGCTTAGATCGCATCATCACTTAACATCAGGTGAGTTCTAAATGCGCTAAAATTTAGAAATAAAAAAGATTATGATCGTTCTGTCAAGAACATATCAAATGAGAAGTAGATGAATTAAGATATTTTGATTTGATTTGAATTCGCGTCCTTTGTAATACCCTTTCGACCCCACAACTGTGGCCCTGTTCTCGTCGAATTTGCCCCAAGTCCATAGGTCAATACGCATAAAGCCAATTTGAAAAAGATTTCTGAATTAAGATAATTTTATTTATTTTATTTGCCGCGCAAGTCTATAGGTCAATACGCATAAAGCCAATTTGATAAAGATTTCTGAATAAATTAAGTAAATTAAGATAATTTTATTTCATTTTAGTGGCGGTATATATTCGCGCCCCTTTTAATCCCCCTAGTCTAAGAAAATACAGCCCTGTTCTCATCGAATTTGCCCCAAATAACGCAATAGATCAATATGTCAAATGCGTGTAAAGCCAATTTGAAAAAGATTTCTGAATTAAGATAATTTTATTTATTTTATTTGCGGTTTACACTCGCGCCCCTTTTAATCCCCCTGGACTAAGAAAATACAGCTCTGTTCTCGTCGAGTTTGCCCCAAATAAGGCAATAGATTAATACGTCAATCATGCATAAAGCCAATATGTCAAATAATTTTATTTATTTTATTTGCGTGTAAAGTCAATTTAAAAAGAGTTTATTAATTAGGATATTTTTATTTCATTTTATTTACTGTATACATTCGCGCCCCTTTTAATCCCCCTGGACTAAGAAAATCCGGCCCTGTTCTCGTCGAGTTTGCCCCAAATAACGCAATAGGTCAATACGTCACGCACGAATCGTTTCGCTAATGTTCGGCCGTCCTTCGACTCGAATCCTGTACTTCCATCATTATAAAAACCATACACTCCCAAATATGGTAATTAGAAGTATTTTATTATTTTTATAAAAGAGCAACACACAAGTTTCTTGCTCGTTCTTCTTGTTATGCTGAGACAGCTTTCCGAACGAGTGGTAGATAAAAAACAAATTGTTAATTTCAAAAGCAAATTAAGTTTATTTGAATAAATGATTTTCTATTCTATTCTATTCTATTCTACTGTTCATTCGGAAAGCAGACTCTTCACCACAAGAATTTGCAAGAAACTTTTTTTTTTATAATAAGATTTTTAAAGGAAGTTTTTTATACGACACTAGCTACTCGCCCCTGCTTCTCACGGGTGTACAAGTATTATATATATAAACATTCCTCTTGAATCACTCTATCTATTAATAACAACCTCTTCAAAATCCGTTGCTACGCAAGAAGATTTTAATTTTTATATTAAGCTTTTTACAAAGGAAGTGTTTTATACGACACTAGCTACCCGCCCCTGCTTCGCACATGTATTATTATATATAAACATTCCTCTCAAATCACTCTATCTATTAAAAAAACATCTTCAAAATACGTTGCTACGCAAGATTTTAAAGATTTAAGTATACAGACAGACAGCGACAGCGACTTTGTTTTATACTATATAATGATTTGAGTTTCTTTTCAGGCAGATTTAGAAATATGCCTCTATCACATCACCACTCTGCAGGTGTTCAGTCTAAATGAAGTTATCTGCAATTTTAATCTACAATAAACAAAATTAAATTAACACTTTACACGTCTTTATCAGTTGCTAAGCTTGTGGAATGAACACCTGCCTGCCTACATGTTAAGAGACTACAGCATGGGGTTTTGCAAGAAGTATATTAAGGTTTCTTAAGGGTGAGCAACGCGCACGTGACACCCCTGGTGTTTCAGGCGTCCATAGGCTACGGTAACCGTTTACCATCAGATGGGCCGTATGCATGTAATTGCTACGTAGTATAAAAAAAATACATCTATATTTTTTAACTAGCTGTTCCCGCGACTTCGTCCGCGTGGAATTTATCTTTATTTTTTATAAAATGAGAGAAATTTTCTAAAATAAAAGTAAAAATTGTACTACATCGGCTACCTGCCAATACTAATGTGTCTGTTTGTAATATTGAAATAACCGTTTTTTACTACATGGATATGAATATAAATACGGTACATACACCAAAATAACATTTTTTACAATTTTTGTCTATCTGTCTGTTAGTTCCGGCTAATCTCTGAAATGGCTGGACCGATTTTGACGGGACTTTTATAGGTAGCCGATGTAGTAAGGAGTAACTTAGGCTACTGTTATTTTAGAAAAATAAAATAAAATTCCACGCGGACTAAATCGCGGGTACAGCTAGTGAATACATATAATTATAAATTCTGATGGAAGGCATATAAATGAGACAAATATTACCCTCTCCGATCGATCCCCCATCCAATTCAAACGGGGATCGAAATTACGACGGCCTGAGCCGAGGTTCGAACCCCTAGTGGTGCCCTCAGACTAAAGTCGTATCCGTCAGGCAGGAGTTGGCCTTCAGCCGCTCCATAAGTCCATCCTTTGGTTTGGAGTGTCATCTGCACTCGCTCCTAACGTCCGGTGAAGCTGTAAAGGCCAGCTGCGGCCAACAGCATTAGAGTAGTCCGAAAAAAAAACAAATATTATCTATGAAATTGAGTCATTGCCCGTCTATTACATCGTATATGGCTGTTTCATGTTGCTGTATTGATATGTTAATTACGTTATCAAAAGTTATCAATGTTTTTTTATACATAATACGAGCTAACATGCAGGTGTTTAGATTGCTTTGTCATCACGAGAATTATTACGGAATTAAATCTTTATTGTTTTCAAATATACGTATTTATGTAGGTATGTCTGAGAATGTGTGTATGTATGTACATTTTACTTGTTTATATTTTAAATACTAGCTACTCGCCACGGCTTCGCCCGGGTATACATGTATTATACATATAAACCTTCCTCTTGAATCACTCGTATCTTTAAAAATTAAAACGTTTCGAAATCTGTTGCATAGTTTTAAGCTACGTATATATATAGGGACGAACAGACATCGACAGCGACTATCATTTATACAGTCCACGCCTAAAATGGAGATAAGGTTGGCAACACTGTACGAGTACTCGTGTTGCCCCTTTTTTTGCGACATTATTGTGAGCGCTCTCTGTACAAACTCAATGAACAATAAACGATTTAAAAACTGGTAATTCTTTTATATCAAGTAATGATCGCAATGATCATTTGGCGACCGTGACAGGACCCACATATACTATGTAATGATTTATTTACTAGCTGTTCCCCGCGGCTCCGCGTGGAGGTAAACTTTCATTTTCTGAAATAAGTTAACCTAAGTTACTCCTTATTACATCAGCTACCTGCCATTAGAAGTTCTGTCAAAAACGGTTATTTCAATATTACAAATAGACACACCGACTTTATTCATATTCAAGTAAAATACATGTATATTATAATATACTAACGGTGCCTGTGACTTCGTCCGCGTGGAATAGTGGCTTTGGACAAATAAAGAAAGCATATATATTAATATATTTATTAATCCACCCCAAAATAGTCAAAGAATAATATTTCATAATTCTTGATACAAAAAATGACGAATTTCCATAAAAAAATTCATACATAGTACATTACATTCACACATAGGGGATGAAGTATATTATAGAATTAGCTTACTTTTTAGACTATTATTTTAAATTTAATAAATATAATAATAATAATAATAATAAAAATTAGAATATTATATTAAAAATTTGTAATGTCCAAATTTTTAATGATATATTTTATTATATTTTATAAATAGTCTAAAAAATAAGCTGTAAGCTTCTAGCTTTAAAAATTACTATACTTGCCTACAATCTTTCACCCCTTTTACAACCCCTTACAACCCTTGTTTCGCTTTAAGAAGTAGCCTATGTCCTTTCTCAGGATCTAGACCGATATAAATGAAAGTTTCGTAGTTTTGGCGCGAGACAGACAGACAGATAGAGTTACTTTCGCATTTATAGTATTAGTAAGGGTATAAGGGATTGAGTGACATTACATAGACAAGGATTGGAAAATGCCGGGCATAGATAATGAAATTATCCGAGGCCAATTAGGACTCTTTATGATTCAACGACGCAGGTCAGAATGCACCTTAAGTCGTACTACTAAGCTAAAATGTATCATCAAAATATGTTATCTTATCAAAAGAAACCACTAATTCAAGTTAATCATACAGATAACAAAGAATCGATATAATTCATTTAATCTATAAAAAAACCGTGCGATGACACTATGAAGAATATATTTGAATTTAAATAAATCATATTGTGATTCAAGTTTGTGTGTATGTGTTTTGTTTGCATTAAATATAATATAGTTTTTTTATTATCTATGAAATGGTTCAACAGACTGCTACCTTTGTAATATGTAAGTACCTATTTGATACTAACAATAATTTTTATTCGTGTCAAAAAAAAACTAATACAATTACAGCATATAATATACTAGCTACTCGCCCCGGTGTACATGGATTACAAAATAGAATAGAATAGAAAATAATTTATTCAAATAAACTTACTTTAAGCACTTTTGAATAGTCATAACAATTTGTTTTTTATCTACCACTCGTTCGGAAAGCTGTCTCATCACAAGAAGAACGAGCAAGAAACTTGTGTGTTGCTCTTTTAAATAATCCTTGTAAGTTTACATTTACAAGTCGAAACGTGTGAATACAAACTACCAACCAGCACTAATTTTTTTGGGTGAAATATAAATATACAATAAGATTAAATCAGTCGTAGTGATAAAAACAGACCAGTCCCTACAAGCGTCCCTACAAGAAGTTATATATATATATAAAACTTCCTCTAGAATCACTCTATCTATTAAAAAAAACCGCTTCAAAATCCGTTGCGTAGATTTAAAGATTTAAGCATACATATATAGGAGTCGATAGACAGCGACAGCGACTTTGTTTTATACTATGTGATGTAATGATTTTAAAAGTAATAAATAAACAAAACGGTCTATAACTCAGAGGGGGCACACTCTCTGCTATTCCATTATAGCCTTTATTAATAAATTAATACAGTAAAAGATGTCAATAACACTTAAGATCTAAACTGTCTTCTACTAACAAAGTAAACAGAAAAATTTGACAATAATTTAACAAATTACAAACTAATAAGATTGGATAATAACAAAGTTAAATAAAGACTAAAATTTGTTCATATTTGCAACCTCTCTGATCAATCCTCTATTCAATTCAAACGGGGATAAAACGACGGCCTGTGCCGAGGTTCGGACCTCTATCGGCGCCTTCAGACTGATACCGTATCCGTCAGGCGGGAGTTGTCCTTCAGCCGCTCTATAAGTCCTTCCTTTGGTTTGGAGTGCCATCTGCACTCACCCCCTATCGTCTGGTGAAGCTGTAAAGGCCAGCTGTAGTCCGCATTAGAGTAGTCCGAAAAAAACCTATTCACAGACACAAGTTAGTAGATTACAACGCTATCCATTTTATATTCATAAACATGAATATAAATACACCAAAAACACTTTTTAGAATTTCTGTCTGTCTGTCTGTTTGTTCCGGCTAATCTCTGAAATGGCTAGACCGATTTTGATGCGACTTTTACTGGCAGGTAGCTGATGTAATAAGTAGTAACTTAAGCTATTTTAGAATAATAAAGTATGATTAATTAACTTTTTTGTTAAATTCCACGCGGACGAAGTCGCGGGTACGGCTAGTAATATTAATGAGATTACTATTTTATACTTGTTTCAGTATCATTACTTTACTCGCATACAACTGAAGCGTTATGGTCGTGTTTGACTGACGTCGAGTGTGACGTCACAGGTAGCATATGCTTTGACGGGAGCTGCACCTGTCCAGCTGGTCAGGAGGTCGCCTTCGGAGGCACAGTCTGCGTCGACGGTATGTTTATGGTGTAAAAGAATAGAATAGAATAGAATAGAAAATCATTTATTCAAATAAACTTAATTTAAGCATTTTTGAATAGTCATAACATTTTTTTAATCTACCGCTCATTCGGAAAGCTGTCTCATCACAAGAAGAACGAGCAAGAAACTTGTGTGTTGCTCTTTTAAACAATCCTTGTAAGTTCACATTTTACAAGTCGAAACGTGTGAATACAAACTACCAACCAGCACTAATTTATTAGGGTCAAATATAAAAACATCCCAAATATCGAGTGGATAAAATCAGTACGTGGATCATCAACAACTACGACCACAAAAACATGTGTCACAACCACTCGTTCACGAAGCCAAGACAACGAAAAACACAGGAGAAAGGGTGAGAACAATCTCTTTGTTGGTTAACGGCCAATATGTGTTCCTAGTGGATGAAGCCCAATGAACCACGGCCCACCACGCAGAAATGGCCAAAGCAAAAGATGTCTGGACATTTTACGTAAATCATGATAAACATAACCTTTTTTACCTACGAGCGACCTAACAAATCAGCTGTATTACTAGGGAGTTTCTATGCACCACAGAAACCCCTTTGTACAGCGTATGCCATAGAGAGAGTATACAACGTGCAGATCCGGATTAGGTTTTATGTATATATATATGCAAAGTCATGTATTTACAAAGCAGGACTCTATACCTTGTTCATACCCATTTGTATATCCGAGGGATATGGAATGGACGAGGAGTCTAAAGTGCTGACGATTCATGAGGCTAGGTGACATCGGAGAGTATTATATATTAAGTAAACCCTGGCAGCTTCTCATGCCGTGGTAGCTTCGACACATGTGCGTATATTTAAGAAATCTTGTTTTTATAAAATAAAAGACATTCGTGAGTACTCACTGCAGATGGCGAAAAAATAGAGACGGGGCGATCGTTGATGCGCTGATTGCGCTAAAATAATCAGCACAAAGAAAACCAGAACAGCTGATGCATCGGCGGGGCGCTTTGGACTGGAAAGGCCGGAACATGCTCGCTAAAAGTATAAAAAAAAAAAAGAAAGGGAAAGGAAAAGAGAAGGAAGACAGAAAAAAAAAAAAAAAAAGAAAAAAGGGGAAAGGGAATAAAAGGGAAAAAAAAAAAAAAAAAATTGCCGAATTACGACGTGTGAAAAAGTGAACTGTGAAATTAAACAATCAATAATTAAACAAAACCTGGACTATAACAAACGTTGAAAATAATGTTAAAATAATATTTCATATAATTGTATATGCAGTGTAAGAATTCAGAATGTGTATTGTTACATTATGAACCATTGCACAATGTAATGAAAACTGTGAAATTAGTCGTAGTGTAAGATTTATATAATTGTATATGCATATTGATAAATCTAATCTTCCAAATAAAGATGGGTGACACTGCATGTTGTCAACTCACCCGGCCGGCCAGCGGTGGTTCTGGGCCAGACGGATAAGGTCTGCCTCGGTGTCACTGTTAGGCAAATTGTAACATCTCGGCTGGAGTTGTACAAAAATGGAAATTAAATAAACATAATAATATTAAAGTAAATTAAAAAAGGCACGGACGAATATGTCTGTGGAAAAATGTATTTAAATATAAAAAAAAAAAAAAAAAAAAAAAATATAAAAACACAATAAGATTAAATCAGTCGTAGTGATAAGAGCAGACCAGTCCCTACAAGCACTCGTTCACGAGTATGACGGATAGCCAGTCATCTCTGCGCTCGACCATATTTTAGGGAGCCCAATGATCCGGCCCACCACGCCGCCACATGTCTGGACATTTTAGTAAGCATGAAAACATTTTTTATTTTCGAACTATTCAAATGCTGTCGAATGCAGCTGGCCTTTACAGCTTCACCGTAGAGAGAGCGAGTGCAGATGGGTTTTTTATATATATATATGTTATGTATGTATTTACAAAGAAACTGTATCTTTGTATTTGTATCAGTTAACTGGTACCCATAACACAAGCTTCAGCTAGCGTGCTCATTGTATTATATATTAGCTGTTCCCGCGACTTGGACCGCGTGGAATTTAACTTTATTTTTATAAAGTAAAAGAATTTTTAAAAATAAAAGTAGCTAAAGTTACTTCTTATTACATCACCGGCCAATGAAAGTCCCGTCAAAATCGGTTCAGCCATATCAGAGATTAGCCGGAACAAACAGACAGACAGACAAAAATTAAAAAAAATGTTTTTGGTGTATATACCGTATTTATATTGATATGCATGTAGTAAAATACGATTATTTCAATATTACAAACAGACACTCCAATTTTATTTATATGTATAGATATATGTATTATTAGTCTAACTAGCTATTCAAAGGGTGAACGCTGCCAGTATCTTCGGAACCTTGCCTAAAGGGAATCCTTTTAATAATATATTTTAGTTATTATATTGATTAAAATGTATTTACATATAATAATAATAATAATAATAATCTCAGGACAATTCACACAGCGCCATCTAGTCCCAAGTTAAGCTAGCTAAAGCTTGTGTTACGTGTACTAGATTACTGATACAAGTACATAGATAATTTTTTTTTCGTAAATACATACATATTATACATAGAAAACAGCTAGACCGATACAAACAATCATACTCATGAATACAAATGTTTGTGCCGTGCGAGGAATTGAACCCGCGACCATCGGACGTAAAGCGGTGTGCTAGACCGCTAGACTAGCGAGGTCGTCAACATATATTATATCTCCCTTTGATGGGGTGATAGATTTGTCATTGAGGGTGACAATCACCAAACGGAAGCAATTATGATTATTATTTAAATGAATTTTTCTAAAATGAAGGTACCTTAATACTCCTTATTACATCAGCTACCTACCAAAAAAAGCCCCGTCAAAATAGGTCCAGCCATATCAGAGATTAGCCGGAACAAACAGACAGACAGACAAAAATTGGAAAAAATGTTTTTGGTGTATTTATATTCATATGCATGTAGTAAAAAACGGTTATTTCAATATTACAAACAGACACTCCAATTTTATTTATATGTAGGTATAGATTCTATTCTCATATTTGGGGTTGTTACAGCGGCCATCTACCACAGCTCCAGATGCGTTGAGAACAGTCAATGCTCAAGACTCTTCAGCGCTTTTGAATGTCGGCGTCAGGATGGTGAAGAAAGTGAGTCAATTTTTATAACATTTAAGAATAGAATAGAATAGAAAATCATTTATTCAAATAAACTTAATTTAAGCACTTTTGAATAGTCAACATTTTTTTAAATCTACCGCTTATTCGGAAAGCTGTCTCATCACAAGAAGAATAAGCAAGAAACTTGTGTGTTGCTCTTTTAAACAATCCTTGTAAGTTCACATTTTACAAGTCGAAACGTGTGAATACAAACTACCAACCAGCACTAATTTATTTAGGCTCAAATATAAAAACACAATAAGATTAAATCAGTCGTAGTGATAAGAGCAGACCTATCCCTACAAGCAGCACTCGTTCACGAGTATGACGGATGAGCCAGCCATCACTGCGCTCGACCATATTTTAGGGAGCCCAATGACCCGGCCCACCACGCCGCCACATGTCTGGACATTTTAGTGAGCATGACTACTCATTCCACTCGACCACGTCACAGCTACAAAAATGACTATATGGTAGTTACAGTATTCGCACTTTACATGAGGATGCATGCGGCAATCAATACAAAAGCCGCTACGCTATCATATATCAAGAAAGCAGTATGAACAATAAATTATAACGTTGTCCGCAAATAAACTTATACTTGCTATATATTGCTATCATCTATAAATTCATCTATCCTATAATAGGCTTTTTTACATAACATTTGTTTAATATAAAGTTTGAATTGCCTCTCTGTCAGATTTAGCGTAGACTCTGGCAGTTTATTATAGAATCTTACGCAATTACCATAAAATGAATTACTAACTTAATTATAATTATACAATATAAATATTATTATATAATAATATTGAATACCAGCTGTGCCTGCGACTTTGTCCGCCTATTATAGTGACCAAATAAAGAAACATTTTTCATCGTTCTAGCTTCAAAAATGATGAATTTCTATACAAACTTTCAACCCCTTTCAACCCCCCTTTCAACCCCTTACAACCCTTTTTTCGCATTTAAAAGTAGCCTATGGCTTTCTCAGGATCAAGACTATCTGTGTATACAAAAACCTGTGTTTCACACACTGAATGCGAGACAAACAGACAGAGTTACTTTCGCAACTGCAATATTAGTAAGGATGTTTATTAAGTGAGAGAAAATAATAAAAAAAAACAAATTTATTTTCCCATACCAACTGTTCGGACCTGTCCATCATGGTGCGTTTAGATATTTATTGCTTTAAACTTCAAAAAACGGTTGACATAGTATAACTCGGGTTATATATATAGACACTAGCTGACCCCGTGAACTCTGTTGCGCCTCAGAATTGAATACCTTTACTAACAGCCGGCAGATAACAAAGTTAAATAAATACAAAAAATTGTTCATGATTACTTATAAATTATCATGAATATCATCAGACGCGTGCGCAGATTAAATCAGTCGTAGTGATAAGAACAGACCAGTCCCTACAAGCGTCCCTACAAGAAGTTATATATATATATATATATAAAGCTTCCTCTAGAATCACTCTATCTATTTAAAAAAACCGCTTCAAAATCCGTTGCGTAGTTTTAAAGATTTAAGCATATATAGGAGTCGATAGACAGCGACAGCGACTTTATTTTATACTATGTGATGTAATGATTTTAAAAGTAATAAATAAACAAAACGGTATATAACTCAGAGGGGGCAGTGAGTCCACACTCTCTGCTATTCTATTATAGCCTTTATTAATAAATTAATAGAGTAAAAGATGTCAATAACACTTAAGATCTAAACTGTCTTCTATTAACAAAGTAAACAGAAATATTTGACAACAACCTAACAAATTACAAACTAATAAGATTGGATAATAACAAAGTTAAATAAAGACTAAAAATTGTTCATGATTACTTATAAATTATCATGAATATCATCAGACGCGCGCGTAAACACACATTCACAACCCCTCTGATCGATCCTCCATTCAATTCAAACGAGGATAAAACGACGGCCTGTGCCGAGGTTCGAACCTCTATCGGCGCCTTCAGACTGATACTCAGAATTGAATATCTTTTCTAACAGCCGGCAGATGTTTCTGTCAACCTGGAAATCACTACTTCCTGGGGCGGTGCTGGCCTTCTGTGGATTTCGGAGAGCCATGCACCAGAGACGAGCAGTGCATGGGCAGCGTCCTCAGGGACCCCTACAGCATGAGGTGTAATGAAACTTGTGTATGCGCGGATGGGTACCAGTTGAGGCAGCGGGGAGAGTGCAGAAAAGTTGCTTATGGTAAGATTTGTTTATAGTGGTAGAATAGAATAGAATAGAAAATCATTTATTCAAATAAATTTAATTTAAGCACTTTTGAATAGTCAAATTTTTTTTTTAAATCTACCGCTTATTCGGAAAGCTGTCTGATTACAAGAAGAATAAGCAAGAAACTTGTGTGTTGCTCTGTTAAACAATCTTTGTAAGTTCACATTTTACAAGTCGTAACTTGTGAATACATACTACCAACCAGCACTCATTTCTGAACTAAACATCGTACAAGCCTGACATAAATTATTTGTCATCTAACCTGCAGCAACAGAAGTCACACTAATTTTACAGTAATTTAATTTATGCGTGTAATGAAAACAATCCAAAATGTACCTCTTTTGTTTACTTTATTTCATAGAGAGTTTTGATAGTATTTATTAATATAATTTTCCAAATAATCAGAAAGTCAATAATTATTGGATGGCACGTCAATGACCCTATTGAACATTTTTTGGAAAAATGGCACGTTGATGCATAAAGGTCCGCCTACACTGTTATAGTATTATATATATTAATACATCCCGTATTAGCATAATTAACTGGTTTATACAATTAATTTTTACTTGAGAAAAATGCGCGCCCGTGTCGGGCCGTAAAGTAATGTTTTTTTAACTGTCATAGTAAGGAAACGGAGGGCACCTGCTCAAAAAACAACTACATACATTTTTTAATAACGGTTGTCACATGATATCTGTAGTGCTGTTCATGTATATAGGAGATAGTTATCACTTACCATCGGGACCGTCAGTTGCCATTCCAATTTTGATGGCATTAGTGGTCTACACCGCCTTACTTCCGATGGTCGCGGGTTCGAATCCTCGCACGGCACAAACATTTATATTCATGAGTATAATTGTTTGTATCGGTCTGAGTGTTTTCTATGTACAATAATAAAATATTTCTATGTATTTGTATCAGTTATCGAGTACCCATAACACAAGCTTTAGCTACCGTAACTTGGGACTAGATGGCGCTGTGTGAATTGTCCTGAGGATAAAAAAATCTATATGTAAAATATTTTTTCAGAGGTGGGAGACGGATGCGTTTTGGATGTGGACTGCCAATTTGCAGGTGGCGCCTGCAATCAATCATCTTTCACCTGCATCAACAGCAATGCAAAAGGTAAGTTTATTTAGTAATTACCCCCCCGAATTACCAGAGAGGAGAGGGGGGCCTCTCCTCTCAAACCACACTCCAGTCCAACGGGAGTTAAATTTACAACTGAGCCGAGATTCGAACCCCTAGCTGTGCTCAGACTGGCGTCGTATCTTTTGTTTTGGATGATAATGGAATGGTGCAACCGCCTGCGCTAATGGTATACGCTGGCAGGGCACCAGTGGAGGATGATAAGATGAGCATGAGGTCAGGGCAGTTAGCACATCGTGACAAGTTCACCAGGAATTTGTCACGATGGTTTCCAGGGGGAACCGCGTGTGTCAACTTGATATGGTACATTGTTAGCAATGGGGTTATCAATCCACATTACTAACAATCCTTTTTCCAAATCCAAATTAGTAAATGTAGTAAATTATTCCTTATTACATCAGCTATCTGCTAAAAAAAGTCCCATCAAAATCGGTCCAGCCAATTCAGAGATTAGCTGGAACAAACAGACAGACAGACAAAAAAGGTATAAAATGTTAATTTGGTGTATGTACCGTATTTATATTATGCATGTAGTAACAAACGTTTATTTCAATATTACAAACATACACTCCAATTTTATATATATGTATAGATTTCAAATCACATAATATTTATATATATATATATACAAAAAATATATATTTAAGTATTTCTATGTACTATTAAATGTATTATTATACAGCAAATATGTTACATCTAGAAATATCCTCAATAAATACCGTTTCGATCGATCCTATGTAAAATGTATTAAAATTAAAAAGTTAGCCGAGGTTACAGCGGTGCCCTCAAAAAATATTTATCCGTCAGGCTTCAGTTGTCCTAAGTCCTTCCTTCGGTTTGGAGTGCCATCTGCACTCGCCCCCTAACGTCCGGTGAAGCTGTAATGGCCAGCTGCGGCCAACAGTATTAGAGTAGTCCGAAAAAAACTTACCTCACAATAAAAAACGCGTTCTCTCTTTGTAATGTTAGTGTTAATTATTATACAATTTATGTCATTAAAAATATAACCTATGTGCTATCCTGATGTATAAGTTATATTACTCTTAAAAACTACTAAAAAACTTTACTTTATTCAAAATTCGTTGCATAGTTTTTGCGTGAAAGAGTAACAAACATCCATACTCACAAACTTTCGCGTTTATAATGTTACTAGCTGTTCCCGCGTGGAATTAAACTTTACTTTTCTAAAATAAAAGCAGCCTAAGTTACTCCTTATTACATCAGCTACCTTCCAAAAAAAGTCACGTCAAAATCGGTGCAGTCATTTCAGAGATTAGCCGGAACAAACAGACAGTCAAAAATTGTAAAAACATATAGTAAAAAACGGTAATTTCAATATTACAAACAGACACTCCAATTTTATTTATATGTATAAATGTGATTAAGATTGTTCAATGCTATAGTTAATGCAAAGTACTTATTTGTTAATATGTTTATACTTTTATCTCTGACAGTTTTACAACATAAGATACGACAAAACTGTGCCTATAATAATGTACTACAAATAAATAAAGTCTTTATTCAAATAAACTTAATACAAGCACTTTGGAAGAATCACAGTTTTTGGATTCTATAACTCATTCTAAACTCCCTATTAAATGAAAGAAATCGTAACGTATTTTTGTTATGGGTCCTAGACAACTGATACAAATACATAGATAATTTTTTTTTTTCGTAAATACATACATATTATACATACATAGAAAATACCCAGAGTTTATTTTATATTTACTTATAATATATAGCTTATGGCAACAGATAACATATTATAATCATGGGTATTATTGTCATGATAAAATCGATTTAAAGTATTACAGTAAGCTACTAAATTCATGTAATGACTCTGACTAAAAGAGGCCTTATAAGAATTTGCTGGTTAGGCAGCGCCCCAATCAAATGACCAAAATGTTATTTTGGTGTATGTACCGTATTTATATTCATATGAATACGGTGCGTCACTGTACAACCGCATTTTACACCGCTCCGCGTCCATATAACGCCCACACATACCATTTTCCCTTCAGTACACCAAATACTCACAAGCAGTCCACACTCAATCGTCGTGTACTGAATATATCAGGTTGGAAAGCAGCCCGGACTTATCATTTACACATCATAGCAACTAGATTGTGTGGGTCACAGCAGATCAAACATCTTTATAGTCCTTCGAGCCGGATAGTAGTAGTAAAAAAACGGTTATTTCAATATTACAAACAGACACTCCAATTTGATTTATATTATTTGTTTATTTATTTATTTATTTACGTCACATTAAGTGAGCTTTACAGTTTCCCAATATGCCCACTTAGGAAGATTGTATATATATACACACAATTATTAAAATCACTAGTATCCTGATGTCTTAGACGTAATGCCGATTGGTCAGGGAGAGAAACACCTCAATGCCTATAATATTCACAATTACCTATCTCTTATTTGTTTTTATAATAATAAAAACACTCCAACTTTTTCGCTCCAAAACTCCCGCTGCCTACGTTCAATTATCCGTCATCCACTTGTCAATGTCACATAGATTACTTTGGCTCTGGCCTCTGACGTTCCGTTTCAGGTTACATGATTATTGACTTTACCATTTTTAATTAATAGTGCGTCACACGAAAGTAACAATATGTGTCCTATCGGACTCGGTCCCGAAGTTGAAGCTTAATATTTTATTTCCTCGCGATGTTAATAAATTTGCCACAATAATACTGCGTGCTGCTACACTGACCACGGCGGGTATCTGTCTGCCTACACTACGCCACCAAGGAGCAGGATATTGTCGACTCCATACGGACCAGGAGTAACCTGACATTCCAAATCACAAATCAAATTTATTTGAGGTTTACATTGGTGACGTAATATAATGTCTGGCCTCATTAGTATATAAATTTTAAATATTATTTAATTATTAAATCAATTGAGTCACATTATTATTAATTTAAAAATTCGCGAGTTTCAAGGCGTTTGTGTCCCGGGTCCTTACCAACATGCTGCCAACCTTTATGAAGGAGGACTACTGGCCGATAGGGGTGGTGTATCAGCGCTACCGCAGCAGATTGCCGTCGACAGTACTATACTAGCTGACCCGCGCTACTTCGTCTGGATCATTCTCACATGACACTTGTCATTTTTCGCCTAATTTACATAATATCTTTAAAATTATAGCCTATATGTTATTCTGATGTATAAGCTATATTACTGTAGCTTCATCAAAATCCGTTCAGTAGTTTTTGCGTGAAAGAGTAACAAACATCCATCCATACTCACAAACTTTCGCGTTTATATATTATTAATATTATTATTAGAAGAAATACAGGAAGCCTGTGGAAATAGAAGAAATAGAAATAATCTTTATTCAAATAAACTTAATATACGCACTTTTGAATAGTCAAGTTTTTTTATTCTACCGCTCATTGGGAATGCAGACTCATCACAAGAAGAATGAGCAAGACACTTGTGTGTTGCTATTTTAAATAAATATTGATTTACTTATATTTAATTTACAACAAGGATTAGGCTGCGACAATCAACATAGAAACCGCTACGCACTTAATCTCTGTTCAATCAGATAACATTGTCATCATTTATACAACAACACTATTATCATTTATAAATTCTTCAATTTTATAATAAGCTTTTTTACAAAGATAATATTTTATAACACATTTGAATTTTTTTCTGGCAAATTGAGTATTTTCTGGCTTATTGAGACTCTGGGAGTTTGTTGTAAAACCCTACGCTAATTTCCATAAAACGAATTACTAAATTTCGACAAACGGCACCTAGGTAAAACTAGTTTGTTGACATTACGTAAGCTTTTATATTATTTACGTACGTACATTTCATTTTATTTATGTATCTACATAGACATATGTATTTTTTTTTAATATATTAATTTAAATTTATTACTAGTATTTACATAACCTAATTGTACAACTAAGATCCTAAAATTAAAAAGCTAAAAAAAAATTATATAATATGATGACTAAAATATATTATTAAAAGGGGTATAATATATTAGTGTAATCACCTACTTTTTTAATTTTTTCTGAAACTGTTAATGTTTTTCCTGGCATACATAATGTTTTCGTAGATGTATTGAGAAGCAACGGTGAGGATATTTGATTCTTAAAACCCTCACGCAAAGACTCCCTGGAACCCATACCGTAAATGGAGCGGATGGCCCTCTTTTGCAAAATAAATACTGTATTTATATGTGTAAAATATAAACACATACTTTCCGGTCATAAGAACTAGTTAGCTTTAAAACTATTAGATACAAATAACTGACCATCTAGACTAAAAAGGTCGCTCGCTTTGCCAACATCTGAGGGAATTAATAGAGATGGCCCTCACTGGATGTCCCTCATCTCCAAATGCCCATAACACCACGCAATCTGATTATAGCTGGAAGGGCTGATTGCAGATAGACAAGAAATTAATATGAAAAATGTATATATATATACATTTTTATATATTATCTTCATATTCTTTCTTCTTATATATAAAATTCTCGTGTCACAGTTTTCGTTCCCATACTCCTCCGAAACGGCTTGACCGATTCTCATGAAATTTTGTTAGCGTATTGAGTAGGTCTGAGAATCGGCCAACATCTATTTTTCATCCCCCTAAATGTTAGGGGTAGTCCACCCCTAATTTTTATTTTTATTTTATGCAAAACAACGTTTGCCGGGACAGCTAGTATATATATATATATTACGGCGCTACCGTGGCAGATTGCCGTCCTCAGTGCCGTGACTACACAGACAATTTTAATATACATATAATATTAATTCAAATGTATGTTAGTCTATAAGGTAATATGGGCCTAGTAGCCTGAAATAAATAAATAATATCTTAGTTTCAGATTCTATAATGAAGGAGAAAGTGGAGACTATCAGAGACGTGTCCGTGAGAGCAGTACCTCATTCTAACTTCTGTAATTCGAGCAATCCGTGCGCAGCGCCACTGGAATGTTCTGGAATTAATGGATTTTGTGTCTGTCCGGTTGGTTATTATACAGTTGGGAATGGAAACTGTTTGGCGGGTAAGTAGTTGATTTCTTATTTATTTACCAGAACGTGATTATGTATACGGTGCGTCACTGTACAACCGTCAGCATTTTACCCCGCTCCGCGTCCATATAACGCCCACACATACCATTTTCCCTTCAGTGACTGGTACCAGCTGACTGGCGTAACTTCATCTGCATCACACTTACTTGACATTTATTATAATAGAACAAATAGTGATCCCGAGACTTCGTGTGGAATTTAACTTTATTTTTCTAAAATAAAAGTAGCCTAAAGAACTAAAAATTATTTTGTTCGTATTAATTTATTCGATCAATTAGGTACTGATAGGTTCAAACTAATACATTTACATCCTGCATCATCCCTTATTTTATCCCCATGGGGGTTGAATTTATCAAAATCCTATTTAAGCGAACGTCTTCATCATAGTAGCTCCAATCTTTAATTTCAGTTCAATCTGTCGAAAATCTAAGAAGATTTATGCAAACTTTCATCCCCTATTTTATCTCCTTAGTGGTGGAATTTATCAAAATCCTTTCTTAGGGGATGCCTACGTCATAGTATCTTTATGCATGCAAAGTCTCAGCCCGATCAGTTTAAAATTGACAAAGTTTCATATAAACTTTCATCACCTATTTTATCCCCTTGGGGGTAGAATAGATCAAAATTCTTTCTTAGCGGATGCCTACGTCATAACATCTACCTGCATGCCAAATTTCATCCCGATCTGTCCGATAGATCACTATGTCAGTCACCTTTAAGTTATATATATACAGATTTATATATATATAACTAAAATATATGATAAATGTAATAAATAATTTGATTTGAGAAAAATAATGCTAAATTATTTGATATTTATCATTATATTTATATAATGATAAAAATCTTAACTTTATTTTTCAAAAATAAAATCATTTTTCTAAAATAAAAGTAGTAGTAGTAGTAGCCGATGTAATAATAAATGTTATTTTGAGTAACTTAGGCTAAGTTACATATAATATAATATTTAAAAACCAATAATATTACATCGGCAATCTGCCACGGTAGCGCCAAAAAAAGTAGTCCTCTTTCATGTCAAAATCGGTCCAGACATTTCAGAGATTAGCCGGACAAACAGACAGACAGACAGACAAAAATTGTAAAAAATGTTATTTTGGTGTATGTACCGTATTTATATTCATATGCATGTAGTAAAAAACTGTTATTTCAATATTACAAACAGACATTCCAATTTTATTTATATGTATAGATTTGATTTTGTTTTTTATAGAACTTGGTTCGCCGTCTACAGAGCAAGAATGCGATGGTCTGCTGGCCCAAGTACGAGATGGTATTTGTAGATGTCCAAATAACTTATTCTACGACGAGGACATGAGAAACTGTGTCAGAGGTACTAATTATCTTATATATAAAATTCTCGTGTCACAGTTTTCGTTCCCATACTCCTCCGAAACGGATTGACCGATTCTCATGAAATTTTGTGAGCGTATTGAGTAGGTCTGAGAATCGCCCAACATCTATTTTTCATCCCCCTAAATGTTAGGGGTAGTCCACCCACAATTTTTTTTTTTATTTTAAGGCAAAACAACGTTTGCCGGGACAGCTAGTATATATATAAAAATGAGGTGGAAAGGTATTGTTAGTAATGTGGACTGATGTTCTTATTGCTTCTCGTACTAATTCAGGTCGATCTCCACGCGGTTCCCCCTGGAAACCATCGTGATGAATTTGTCACGATGGGCTAACTGACCTGACCTCATGCTCATCTTGTCATCCTCCACTGGTGCCCCGCCAGCGTAAACCGTTAGCGCAGGCGGGTGCACCATTCCAATATAATAATAATAATCTCAGGACAATTCACACAGCGCCATCTAGACCCAGGTTAAGCTAGCTAAAGCTTGTGTTATGGGTACTAGACAACTGATACATATACATAGATATATATATATTTCGTAAATATATACATATTATACATAGAAAACACGCAGACCGATACGAACAATCATACTCATGAATATAAATCTTTGTGCCGTATGAGGAATCAAACCGGCGACCATCGGACGTAACGCAGTATGCTAAACCACTAGTATACCAAGGTTTATGTCTGATCTCACGAGATCAGACATAAAAAAATACATATAATACATAAAAATAATAATAACATATTATTTTGTTTAATTCAAAACATCTGTTAAATCATATTTGCTGAGCAAAGCCTATTACTCACTAAACGATTACTTGAATGACGAGCGTGCATGGCAATAGTTGTTCATGCACGGGATTTTCATTTAATGTTATACATCATATTGCGACACGTGTAACACGTAACAACGAATAGACTTCAGATATAGCTTGGAAGCCTAATGTTGATTGTTTGGCAACCAAAGAACGTCAATCGATATGGGTTGACTCACGTTCAGAATTTGATCACCAATAGAGATGGCCGGTGATCTGGTTTCCGCGTTGAATATTTGTGGTCTAACACAAGCAAATTGTAGCGGAATTAAACAAAGTACTAGTATATATATTAGACTTCCGGAAAATTCTGTACCACCAGAAACTAAAATACCTTCCTGATCATCTGGATGAATCCGGTCCTCCACAGTGCGGTTATCTAGAAAGTTTTTGCCACGCACAACCACATTGTGGAATCACCTTCCAGCAATGGTATATCCGAACCGATACGATATTGAAACCTTTAAGAAAAGAGCTTATTTCTTTTTAAAAGGCCGACAACGTACTTGCTATTCCCCTGGTGTTGTGGGTGCTCATGGGCGGCGGTAATCACTTACCATCAGGTGAGCCGCATGCTCGTTTGTTCCCTGCGTTATAAAAAGATCTAATTTGATAAATAAATTGTTTCAGCTGCAAGATCGATCAGTGATTCCTGTGTATCGGATGCTAACTGTCATACCTTCGGCGCGTCAGCGATATGTGGACCGCCCCAAGAAGACAATTTCGGTGTTAGAACTTGTGAATGTATACCAGAGCAGGCTGTGTGGGATGCAAATAGACAGATGTGCAGACTTTTTGCTTGTAAGCTTGTAGACTAAAAATAACCTTCATAGAAACTCATTGTTCATACTCGTAAACAAGTGCTGCTTGTAGAGACTGGTCTGCTCTAATCACTAGGATTGATTCACTCTTATATAGCTCTCAACAATTTGGTTGTATGTATATTTAATATTTTCTCCATTTATGTATTTAAATGAATTTGTGCTAATTGGTAGTTTGTATGCACACACTTTAACTTAAAAATGTAGAGTAACAATAAAATTATTTAAAAGAGCAACACGCAAGTTTCTTGCTCATACTTCTTGTGATAAGAAAGCTTTCTGAATGAGCGGTCGAATGAAAAAAAATGTGATGACAACTCAAAAGTCGCCAAGAGGTAGAAGAGGGAAAGGGGAGGCTGCGAGCTCGCAGCGGAGAGGAGGCAGATTAGGTCTGCAGCAAAGAGAAGTGTAGGGGGGAGGAAGAGACGGGGGGAAGGATTGAGGGGGGAAAGACACAGTAGGAAAGGATAAGGAGGGGGAAACAAAAGGGGCAGGGGGGAAGAAAAGTTATGAGATGGAAATGGAATCCATCCTAATGCTTATTTCCAATTACGTAAAGATGCGTTAAGTAATAAATTTTCCGCAGCCATTGGTGAAGTCTGTGAAGTGAACAGCGACTGCCTTGCTGGTGAATTGGAGATCCAGTGTCTTATTGATGATGATGGGATTGGCCACTGCGCATGCCCGGATGACCTGCAGGAAGTTGACGGCTTGTGTTTGACTTCCGGACTTGGTAAATTGTTTACTTAATACATTATATATATAACAGGTTGCGAAGCGAGGACCATGTCTTCAAGAAAGTATGTAACATGAATGTGATCGGATAGTAAGGGTGAGGATGCCAGAATATGAGAGGGATTGTGTGAAAGATGATACGTATAAAAGTAGAGTCAAGATCAATCCCAAATTTTATTTGGGATTTGGATAAGGACAAGGCAATGATGATGAAGATGATGATCTTCTGGAAGAATGGCGCTAAACCACCACATGTTTTTCTGGAAACAAATTTCCACGCAATCATCTTCTAGCAATGTTATTTCCGAACCTATACGATATTCAGATTATCAAGAAAAGAGCTTATTCCTTTTTAAAAGGCCGATAAGGTCCTAGCAATTTTACTGGTGTGGTGGGTGCTCATGGGCGGCGGTAATTACTTACCATCAGGTGTCCTGCAAGCTCGTTTGTATGCTATAAAAATAACCATCTTATAAGTTACAATACTGTAATGAACACAACGTGGACCTTTGTACGTAGTACATTATTTTATATGATTTGTACAGTAGGCAAGACTACTATTTTGTCGATTCTGTGTTTAGATCTCGGCGATCCATGCCAAGCAGACCAGGAGTGCACGGAGACAGCTAACACTGCCTGTGTTAGTGGTATATGCTCCTGTGGTAATGGATTCCAGGAAACCAACGGTTTTTGTGCACCAAGTAAGTTTGTACAGTTACCTTCATCCAACCAGTATTTTTATCAATAGCCAGTATTTTCAATGGATAAATTTTAGATTATTGGAAAAACTTACAATCCATAGCACTGACAATGTTATCTGATTACACTAATATGTTGATTATTGCATGCTTACTTGTTATACTGTAATTATTTATATAAAAAAAAATATCTGTTCAAAAGAGCAACACACAAGTTTCATGCTCATTCTTCTTGTGATGAAACTGCATTCCGAATGAGTGGTAGAATCAAAATATGACTATTCAAAAGTGCTTGTAATGAGTTTATTTGAATAAAGATTATTTCTATTTCTATTAAATACGATCGTATTTAGTGTAACAAAAAGACTGAATTTATTTTCGATTGAAGAATGTTATTTTATAAATATCGGACCAGGTCTCTCTCACCTCCAGAAAACTTTCTACAAAATCATCTGTAGGAACTTCTGTCATGTCTATAACTAGCTACTCACCCCGGCTTCGCACGGGTATTACGGTGATATATATTATATATATATAAACCTTTCCCTTGAATCACTCGACGTACAAAAAAATGCTACAAAATCCGTTGCGTAGTTTTAAAGATTTAAGCATACATAGGGACGGACAGACAACGACAGCGACTTTGTTTTATACTATGTAATGAAGTATGCATATTAATAGTATATTTTTAGTGATATTATGATTTAAAGGTATGGCAACAAAATTACAGAGTACGTCACTACATATTATGTAATGTCTCTGACATTTACACCGAATGAAGATCATTAATTCTCCGATTTATCTTTTATGCTCTAGTAACGAAAATCAAACATTAGAACATATATTTTTTGATTGCCCGGCCTTCAATTTAAACAGAATTTTGCTCATTGCCAAGCTTCAAGAACTATATAAGATTATTCCGCCATCGCTTCAAGAACTATTCAAATACACTGCAACTTTTAAACCAATTTACGACTTCATCATAGCAACTATCGGAGAATTATAAACATTTCAATTATGGACACATACATGGACTTAACACAAACTTATAATTAATGAAAAGATTTGGCAATAACGCCTTGAAGAATTTTTTAATTTCATGGAAATACTATAGCCCAAGAGCCCACGACTTGGGTAACAACGGTGTATACAATTTATAGTTTAGGGGGGTCCGGCGGGGGGTTGGCACCACACTAAGTGTCTGGCAATGAGCAGCGCAAGTTATAATAATGCTACGAAAAATATATGAAAATATGGAGTTTCTTAAAATAACGAATTTGATATGATTTTTTTTACACCTTTGTTACCTGGTACCTGCCAAAGGAACCACGATCCAGGTTTCATGTTTGGGGATCGTTCTTACCTGTGTTGGGGACACACATACAAGAACTTTCACGTTTACTAAAATGACGTATGTCTGGCCGTCGTGGGCTCTTGAAGGCCTATCGACTTGTGGATAAAATATACCACTACTACTACTGTAATGTCTCTGATACATTATACAGAGGCAATTACTATTTCCATCACGTGGAATTAAGCATTACAATTACGTTTCTATACATATTTTTTTACATTCCAGTCATTGGCGGTGTATGCATTCAAGACGACGACTGTGTGATAGAGAACACGATATGTTCGAACGAGACGGATACCTGTCAATGTGACACTCAATATGTCCCGTACGAGGAAGAATGCTGGCTCAGTAAGTGGTTTGAAATAGAATCTTTTATTTATTTATTTAAATTTTGCATTCCATAATTTTACAGTAGATAGACAGGTACATTTCAAAGTAGGTTAATTATGGACCCTGTTAGGCAGCAAGCGAAAGAGAAGAGAAGAGGACGAGTTATTTTTTATATAATATATAATACTAATAATAAAAATACAAATAATAATAATTAATAAATTGAAACTGTATATATTTAATTATTAAAATTGTATAATATTTAATTTAATATGTCATTTATATTCTAAAATTGTATAATAACATTTTTTAATCAACAATGTCCTGAGATTTCTTATAAATATTTTATCATTTTTTTCCTCTTTTAAAGAAAGTGGTAAGTGTTTATATATATTTATTTTTCGAGAGCCGTTTATGTGTCCACGTCGTGCCGTCTTTACCCCGTGTTAGATATCATCGCTTATCCAGTCCACGTCGTCCGTATGAGATACCACTTTCGAAGGTGTCTTGAGTAAAACATCCTAAAATCCACTAACCACTGAGAAGAACGGAGACAATTTTAGCCGAGAAGAAGACGAGACAGACGAGACCTCTGAACCTCAGAGTATTGGTGGATGTCGCCCAAACCAAGCCCTCAGTTTCCAGTGCAGAAAATCCAGTAAATCCTCGTTCCCTTTATTTCCAACCATTATCGACTCCAGTCAATTTCACTGTACATTGCATTAGGGACTTATTATTGTTTTACTTTCCGCACGATGTCTTTTTGTGTTTAAAATGAAAATAAAGCAGTTTTTAAATGAAACAAGAAAGAGAGCACTAGGTTACGGCGCTTGGCGGCGCTGCAATGGAAAATGTAGGAAAACGAGGCAAATGTGACGCAGATAAGGAGCGCAGGTTTGCTAGTTATTAATAAAAACGTACGATACGAAATTAATAATACTATAATATACTAATAGGAATCTAATACCCAAATGACGTTAATATAAAAATACGACAATGTATGTATTATTAGTTATAAACCTACAATTTTATTTATAAAGGAAATATTCATTTTTTATTAATACAGTTAGAGCTTCTTTCTTTTTGGTTAAAAATAGGTCAAATAGTTTCGTATCTCTACCGATAGGGGCCGTTCAAGTATTACGTAAGCACTATAGGGGGGCGGGGGGTCTTTTCTTTGCTTATTTTGGATGACATGGGGGTGGGGGAGTCTGTATGATGATTACGTCATCGGTCGTAATTTAATTTTTTACACGAATGGCAACCCTCACATTGTCTTTGCTAAAAAAACAATACATTAATTGAGAAATGTTTACGTAAGCATGGGGGGAGGGGGTAAGAGCTTTGCTTACTTTTGCTGACAAGGGGGATGAGGGGTAAATAATTGTGATAAATCTGCTTACGTAATACTTGAACAGCCCCATACGGTAGTGACTAAATGAACCGTAGAGCGCACTCTACGGTTATATTATTATTAATCATCATCATGATCTTCATTTCAGCCCGGAAGGTAGCCATTACTGAACAAAAGCCTCCCCCAAAAATATCCACGACGATCGGTCTTGCGCTGCTCGCATCCAACCCCTTCCAGCGATCTTAACCAGATCGTCGTTCGACCTTCCTGAAGGCCTCCCCATGCTGCGTCGTCCGGTCTTATTCTTGATGTTTCTTTATTTCTTATAGTTGCATCGGGTTTTGAAGCGGAATGTAACAATACAGCCCAATGCGTGAGAGCTCTTGGCGAGAACAGCTTATGTTATGAGAACCACTGCGTCTGCAACAGTGGATATCACCATAGAGATGGTTCCTGTTGGATCATGACAGGTATGAGACAAATAGAAAGAATCTCTATTAATTTGTTTATACTATGATGTAGAAAGTATTCTATGGACGCCTGAAAAACCAGGAGTGTCACGTGCGTGTTGCCGACCCTTAAGAAACCTTAATATACCGTCCTTGAAAAACCCCATGCTGTAGTCACAAGAGAAAACCTCGGCAGGTAGTTCATTCCACAATGTAAGTGTACGCGGGAGGAAGATCCTCTGAAACCACACTGTCCGAGACCACTTAGGTTCCAGCGTGTGGGGATGAATTCCCTGTTGATGCCGTGCAGTGCGATGGTAAAAGGTAGCCGTAGGCATCATGTCGAACAATTCATCAGAACACAGTCCGTTGTATATTCGGTAGAACACACACAGTCTCGCCTCAAGCTAAGTGGTTCGATACCGTTTGAGAGATTGGCATCATCGACAATTCTCATAGCACGTCTCTGAACCGAGTCAAAAAAACAATTATTCTGAATATAATCTTTGTATATTCGGTAGAACACAGAAAGCGATTATTCTGAATAAACTAATCTTTGAATATATTCGGCAGACTAGAAGAAGGAGCAGAACTAAATAGATGTTGTTCAGAATTACATTTTTAAGAATATTGTGTGAACATAAACTGCCAATTAGCAAAGTTGACATAAATAAGTGAATTACTAAAGTTCTTCTCCCTAAAAGCTCGAAATCATAGTATGACGTATGACGATGGTAGTAGTTATAGTCAAGACAATTATAAATATCAGAATTATTATCACTTATTTCTCCCTAATTGAAACTGTATTATAGTAATCATGTACAAGCTCATTTGAAAACTATAAGAGTAGAGTTTCTTGACAGTTCTTCTCAGCTAGAAATCACTGCTAACTGATGGTAGATAGTCTGTAATAAACGTACATGAATAAAGATATTTTGATTTGATATCATTAGGTTATGGGCCCAGTACGCTACCGGTAGCTCAGCCGAGACACAGTTTATAAAACAAGCTGAAACCCCACGAATACGACATTTAACAATCTACCTAAAGTCATTGTTTATAGGGTTTAAATTACAATATAATCTGTATCCCTACCGCACTCTTTAGCCGAAACACAGCTTACAAAACAATCTGAAACCCCACGAATACGACATTTAAAATTCTACCTAAGGTTTCGATCATAAGGTTTAGATTACAATGTAATCTGTGTCCCTACAGGTTTGTTCCAGACATGCGCCAGGACAAGCGAATGCTTCTTACATGATTTATCCGAGAAGGTCATCTGCAGGAACAGCCTGTGTCAGTGTTCCTTTGACTACGAGTATTCAGAGAGATTACACACTTGTGGTAAGGTTTTTTTATTTTTTATGTCATAATTTGAGCACGTTTGACCGCAATCTCACCTGATGTTAAGTGATGATGTGGTCTAAGCTATTACACGTAAGTTCAAATAATGCCTACTCACTCTTGACTTGAAAGACCCAATGTTGTAAGAGGCAGGAAAAATAGACGCTGGTAGAGAGTTCCACTCCTTAGCTGCTCGCATAAGGAAAGATGATGCAAAACGGTTAGTTCTAGCAGCTGGGATGTCTATAGTGTAGGGGTGGAGCCGCTCTCTAGGTCTTGTTGTACGTTGATGGAACGGTGCTGGAGGAATGAGGTTGTGCAGTTCTTGAGCACATTCGCCAAAATGGAGCCTATAAAACACCGATAAACAAGCTACATCGGTGATTAAGACTTTGAAGCCTCTTAGCTGCAAGTGATTCGTCCAAAACGTTTTTTATACTCTTTTTTGACGACCTCGGTGGTCTAGTGGTTTAACACACCGCTTTACTTCCGATGGTCGCGGGTTCGCTTCCTCGCACGGTGCAAACATTTATATTCATGAGTATGATTGTTTGTATCGGTTTGGGTGTTTTCTATGTAATATGTATATATTTACGAAAAAAAAAATTATATCTATGTATTTGTATCAGTTGTCTACTATCCATAACACAAGCTTTAGCTAGCTTAACTTGGGGCTAGATGGCGCTGTGTGAATTGTTCTGAGATTATTGTTATTGTTATTATATATAGATAGATATGTTGTCTATTTATACAAAAATCACCCTTACTGATATTTAGTTTCTTTTTTCCAGTATCCCTGGCACCAACTGCGAGGGCTGCAAGTTCTTTATTAATAATAGTAATAAGTTTATTATATATGTATTAAATCAATATGCTTTTAATAATTATTTATTGTAAATAATAATATACAAATATATTATTTATATATATGGTATGTTTTAATCACGGAAGTCCCTTTACATTTATAAACAATTGTGTCTTATATGGCATACTAGCTGTGCCCGCGGTTTCAAGGTATATTACTGGAAAGTCTCATCAAAATACGTTCAGTAGTTTTTGCGTGAAAGAGTAACAAACATCCATCCATCCACTCACAAATTTTCACGTTTATAATATTATTAGAAATAGAAATAATCTCTATTCAAATAAACTCATTGCAAGCACTCTTGAATAGTCATATTTTTATTATATATACTCATTCGGAATGCAGATTCATCACAAGAAGAATGAGAGAGAAACTTGTGTGTTGCTCTTTTTAATAGATGTTTTTTTATATAAATAATTACAGTATAACAAGTAAGAGGCATGCGATAATCAACATAGAAACCGCTACGCACTCATCATATTAAGATTAAAATGTGTTTGAAGTTTTACACGTAGAAAATACCTTACCAATCGATCCCCTGTCCAATTCAAACGGGGATCTCAATTACCACGGCCTGAACCGAGGTTCGAACCCCTACCGGTGCCCTCAGACTAAAGTCGTATCCGTCAGGCAAGAGTGGGCCTTCAGCCGCTCCATAAGTCCTTCCGCGGGTTTGGAGTACCATCTGCACTCGCCCCCTATCGTCCGGTGAAGCTGTAAAGGCCAGCTGCGGACAACAGCAGTAGAGTAGTCCGAAAAAAAAACGTAGCAAATGTATGACATACTTTATTCGTATAAAAAGTTTACAAAATTCAAGATATTTACGAGGAATTTATGAAATAAATAACGCTCAACGTTTTATATATGCAGTAGAACAAATTACTTATAATTTATGACACATAGCTAGGTTATACACCTATGTAGTAGTTTCCTTTGCCTCGACACACGGTCAGCCGACTACACAATAATAAATTCTAACTGAAGGAACACCGGCTACTTGACCTTTGGCATTACACGAACCTCCTACTTTAAAAAATATACATTATATTTATGTGCCATTAAAATTTAACCTTATTGTGAATGCAGTAAGGCTTTGTTTTAATATGTATAATCTTGAAAAACTTTATTTTTTAATCGGCCTTGTTTCGTGGTATGTGCGTGCTCGCCCTTCTTTGTTAATTTGAATTTGGAATTTCGGAACCAACCTGCCAACTACCATAGTACCAACATTCAGAAGAAAATGTGAGGTATGGATACACTTTCGTAGTAAATAATATACATTAGAGGTCAGTGTATATGTATTGAAACATGCAAAGGTTAGTTCTAATTTTATTTTCTAATGAAATACATGATTATTTTTCTATTTTGGCCATTTCTTAAAGGCATTAGCACGCTGGGGTCGGAGCCCTACCACGTCAATTAATTATTAACACCTTAAGGTAGATATAAGATATTTGTGACATATTACACTATATATTGTAAGCGTAGTGATTACTTGCTCAATGTTTATATTAATTAATAAATATACTAAATTGTGAAACGGAAATAAATACATATATACAGTATAATAATATACAAACTTTTCTCTTTAGGAATAACTAGCTATGCCCGCGGTTTCATCCGCATAAAGTAATTTCGACTTTTCTGTACTATGATTAGGTATCCATTATACATATAAACCTTCCTCTTAAATCACTTTATCTATTGCTAAAAACTGCATTAAATTCAGAACAGCGGAAACGACTTCATTTCAAATTATCTAAAGTTATGTAGCTACTATTACGAATGAAAACCTCTTACAAAACCGTTTTAATTATTTATTTATTTATTTCATCAAAAGCAACATTATTATAAGTACAATCAGAAAAAAATCTAATTACGAGATCAACTCGAAAGAAAAGGACAAAAAACATTGAACATAAAAATATTAAACACTTAACATTTTTTCAATAACATAAATATAGATATTGTTAGTTTTTTTATATGATTTCTTAAATGTTACACAGAACTATAAATATACATTATCTATCAGACATCAACAGAACATATCATTATCTATACAAAAAAAGCAATTTCCAAAATGGTGGCTATGAAAGCAAAAAGGGCGGGAAACTTGACAGCTATCGTACGTCAATTTGTTTGCTTAAACAACATGGCTGCCTAGTAATAATTATACTGCAGAATAATTTATTCTGTAACCTTTTAACTCATGGTATAACCTTGCGTAGCGAGCTATCTCTGTTTTTATCGTTGACAATTCAAGATTTACTTCGTTACGTTATTTTTTATCACTATAAATTAGACGGTATATTTTCAACTACGGAAGGGACTATGGATTATTCTAGTTGACTATGGAAAGAAAGAAATTTGCCTTTTCATTACTTGGTTGAATTTCCTCATTTTAATCCTAGGAAACATCAGGCAGAGGCTTTCTGGAATGGCAACGCATAAGAGGTATCATAGATGTGACATGATAACCTTTGGCTGAAAGGAAATTTCCAGAGTCCTAAAAATACTTAGTAAAAAAACATGATGACCTAATTATCTGTGGTATTAGAAAACGTAGACTAGGCTGTACGGTCTAAGGATCTTTGCCTGTTCCATCATTGAAAAGGAGATGGACGAATATGGAAAAAAAGATATCTGTGGTATTATTCATATACCCACAATCAAGTGGGTAGTTAACTTTGGTATTCCAATTATATTAAAAACTAATATGCCTTTAGAAGATGAGACACGAAAAAAAGGTTAGATATACTCTTGTGTGTGTGAAACGCTAAGAAACTGAATCTCTTGTCCAGAAATTATATAAGATATTCAAATAAACTCAAACTTTAATAACATTTTTTGCATTTTATTTTGTTTTTATAGTTATTTTTTTTAATCTAGGTACCGCTCATTCCAAAACCTGCCTCATCACAAGAAGAACGAGCAAGAAAATGTGAAAGAGTGTGTTGCTTTTTTAAACGGCCAATGATCAGACTACTTTTCCTTTTGACAAAATTGCAATAGCATGTGATAATACACCTACAAGAATATATATATTTTGATTTGACTTGAAACAATTATTTTATTGCTTATATGTATTCTCCCAAATTTGTATTTAAAAATGAATCAAAAAAAATAAAAATATCACTACGACTGATTTAATCTTATTGTGTTTTTATATTTGACCCTAATAAATTAGTGCTGGTTGGTAGTTTGTATTCACATATTTCGACTTGTAAAATGTGAACTTACAAGGATTATTTAAAAGAGCAACACACAAGTTTCTTGCTCGTTCTTCTTGTGATGCTTTCCTACAGATGACAGCTTTCCGAATGAGCGGTAGATTAAAAAAATGTTATGACTATTCAAAAGTGCTTAAATTAAGTTTATTTGAATAAATGATATTCTATTCTATTCTATTCTTTTACACCATAAACATACCGTCGACGCAGACTGTGCCTCCGAAGGCGACCTCCTGACCAGCTGGACAGGTGCAGCTCCCGTCAAAGCATATGCTACCTGTGACGTCACACTCGACGTCAAACACGACCAATACAAGTTTCTTGTTCTTTCTTCTTGTGATGAGACAGCTTTCCGAATGAGCGGTAGATTCAAAGAAAGATAACTGTGACTATTCAAAAGTGGTTAAATTAAGTTTTTTAAACAAATGATTTTCTATTCTATTCTATTCTCATTAACCTAAAACTAAAAACTTTAAGAAATATGATATAATAACTAAAATATATTATTAAAAGGAGTCCTTTTGGTAAGGTTCCGTTGATACTGGCAGCGTTCCCTCTTTGAATGGCTAGACTAATTCTTTGTCCAAGGTAGCTGCCAGCTCTTCGGTCTTCTGTGATGTCGACTAACCTTTTCGTTATTTCTTTGAAGTCTTATAGCGCTAGGACCTCACAGACCAAGGGTCTCGACACCGAATGGGACAAAATCATACTCGGAACCTAGAGTCCTATCTTCGTATGCTTTAGCACTGAAAAACAGTCGCTTCACAAGCCGCACCAGATCTAATTGATACGGCGTACATTTTGAAAGTTCAGGAATTAATTTTTGGTGAAAATATCGGATTATTATTGACCGGAAAATCAGGTACAGACATATAAATAGATGAATTTTAATTTTGTCGGCCTGATTGAACTGATGATCTCAGGGTTGTCAATTAGGGTAGTAAACCACTAGGCCATCATACTCAGAGAAAAAAACATAAACATATACTAAACATTAATGATTACGTTTTGTCTAATTATCAACACATCTAAGCACTAAAGACATTTTATGACCTGTGATTGTAACTTTACATTTTTAAGTTGAAATGTATGCATGTGCTGGAGAGCGATGTAATGCGATGACTATTAAAATACGAGTAGATGGCAGGTGGAACCGCGTGGCACAGCTGGTGTTGTATATACATATATGTTAATATTGATATTGCATTTTGTATAATGACTTGGTAATGTTGGCAGTCATGGGTAGACCCCGGAAGTGTGGCGCCACTGTCGGCGGATGAAATCATAATCTTAATATAATAATATTATAAACGCGAAAGTTTGTGAGTATGGATGTTTGTTACTCTTTCACGTAAAAATACTGAACCGATTTTGATGAAACTTTACAGTAATATAGCTTATGCATCAGAATAACACATAGGCTTTATTTTTTATTGACACTTAACGCGAAACCGCAGGCACAGCTAGTCATAAATAATATCCCTGGACAATGAACACAACGCCATCTAGTGCCAAGCTAAGCTGAACTTGTGTTATGGGTACTAGACAACTGATATAGTTACTAGTACATAGTTACTTTTTTTGTAAATACATACATAAAATACGTAGAGGCACTCAGACCGATATGAACACATAATACTCATATAGAACATATATCATACTCATGAATACACTTGTTTGCACCGTGCGAGGAATCGAACCTGCGACCATCGGAAGTGAAGTAGTGCGTATATATTTAATCGAAACCCTTGGTCCGTGGGGTCCTAGCGCTATAAGA